GTAATCGATAGTGGTCTCATTGGTGGTGTGAGTGATGGATTTGGTGCCGATGGTCGTCGCCGCTGTAATCGTGTTAGAAAACGATGTTCCATGGAGGTGCGCAGAAGAAGGAGGAGGCTGTTATCGTAAGAGCCGCCGAGGCCATGGGGATCCAGCATTCCCTCTGAGGCATTGTGGCCTGTCCCGGTGCGGGCGTTGAATCTGTCAAAGGCAACCAGTTAGTCCCCCGTGGTAAGTCATCAGGCGGGCGTGCAGATCATCATAGGACTTTTTCTTCGCCCCAACAGAGCTTGATAGTGGTGGACACTGGCGCTCATGATTTTGGTGAACGTTGGCTTCCTCAGAGGCAGACGCAGGGTCATTGATTAATCGATGATGCCCTGCGGCAGACAGTAAAGTCACTGTACAATGTCTTTCCGAGTAGCAGAGTTGACACCCATAGCCTCCACCTGACCGTGTTCAGACAATCGGGTCTGGTTGAGAGCAGCGATGCTCGCCTTGCAGCGCGCCAGTTCCTGAATGACTGGCATCATTTTTCGTTTCGGCCAGTTGCTCCTCGGATAGTCTGCAAGAGAAGAAACATTCCAGGTTGCTAGTTTGAGCGAGCTCACCCAAACAGCTCGGAAGGTGCGGCGCGGGGAATCAGCACAGAGATTATTTTTGTTTGTTCGGTTGTTTAACCCGCGAGTCTTGCGAGCTGCAGACCACAATGGCTGCAGTAGACGTGAGACCCAGCCTCCACCGCCTTCCTCAACGAGGACCTAAACAGTTTTGTCCGTAATTAAGGTTGCTGAGGCATTCCAGAAGGCAACCAAAATCCACTATGCGTCAAGGATAGGTTTCACCATGGCCGCCTACGGGATTTTATGTCGCCCTAGCCGTAGGACATTTAAAATGGTGAGAGGAGGCAGAAGGCATGGGAATCAGGATCATCGGGCGTGGGAACATACGCAATATCGGAGCTCCCACCTTATATTGCCTAAACAGGATATGTGAATAGAAACTGCTAGCAATCTGAATGCCTCTGCGCCAAAGTACAGGAAAAAGAGGGTTAGGTTTGTCATTAAGGTGAGGGCTAAATTTAGGGCTTAGCTTACGACTACAATTAACGTTTGCACTTATATAAGTTAGTGTCGACTTTAGGACTTGGTGCTATATGCATTTTCGTGGTTCACAGCAAGGTGGTTCAAGATAAAGGCTATGCTTTAGATTCACGTTGGGCCAAATTTTAGGGGTAAGGATAAATGGAGATTTACCCTTCCTGATAGTATACGCAGGACAAACTTATTACTGGTTCGGTACATCTCTGTTCCGGCGTCCTCTTGGGGGTGGGAGATAAATTTCATCTTTGTCCGAAATATTACTGTTAGGTACGCCTTGGAGCAAGTATTAATTTAAAAAAAAACGAATCTTGAATTGTAATCTCGGATTAAGTGCCGTTTAACGCTGCGCAAGGCAAAGACCAGGCGAATGCGTCAGCGTACCCGGCTGAAGTGCAGGGGTGGGGGGGGGCAAGCAATGAATAAATGGGTGACGTGGACAGATGCTGCACGCCCATTAATGTCCGAGTGGGGCCTGGATACCACGCGAGTTTTGGTGGTCCGTTTACACACAGCTGCAGTACGACAAGCATTCTCTGCATGCAGAGTACGACACCACTTTTGGCCCTTATCTTTCCTATACCCCACCCCAAAACAGGGCTGGCCTCGAGCTTGCATTAGTTCGGGTACATCTACTGGCCTAGTCGCTACACATACTACTGGTGTAAGGCCATTATAGGCGCCATATAGCTATAACGATACGCATGCATATGCTGATTTATAATCACTTAATAAATTCTGAAAGAGTTTCTTGTTTTCCCATTTAAAATTACAAATGACTTTTACTTAAATGCAGCATATGACCTATCGCATGAAGGGTGAGGATGGAAAGTGAGACGATCGACTTTCATTAAAAAAGACTGTATATATTTTTTTCGTCTAGTCTATTTCAAAAGATGTATTTTTTTGCAGGAAGGCTATGTATTTCATTTAAATTTATCAGTCGCTGACTGACCTGTCAGCATACAACCTGATGAAGAATTTATTTCTGTGACGTTTCTTTCGACATAGCCACGCGGAAATCAGTTAACCTTAGTCAGATGTACCTCAAGCAATGCCAAAACGGAGCAAAAAACAGTCATTCTTCGTGAAACCGTGCTAAAATCTATATTCAAACTGTAGGTTGTTTGATAGGAGCAAATTTGACATGGTACTTATTCTTGAGGGCTATTTTCGTGCATACTCCACTTAAAAACTATCTGCAAACGTTAGTCTACTTGTGTTGATTTATTTATTAAATTCTTATGGATATGTTTTCTATACATTTAGAACTTAAGTATGGTCAGTTACGCTAATTTTTGTTGACGTTTTCGGAATCAACAACTTCTTGAACATTTATTATTTCTTGATAATGTAATATTGTGCTTAATGCATCTCTGTTTTTAATTCCTTTTAAGTCGTTCATTAATATTGCAATGGTTTGGCACCTTCATTGGTGCCGATTTGCGAGTCATTCGCAATGTTTCGTCTATTTCGGCCCTCTGCATGAGATAAGTCACTCCCTGTACATGACCGAAGCATAAGGAGTAAACTAAAGGTGTTTCTAAATGCTTGTTCTTGGCTAAAAGATAACAGAAAACTCTATCGTCGTTAATATCAGCCAACGAATCTTTCATTCATCGTTCCCATGATGAGAACTTTCTAATAGCATTTAACGTAACCCGCTTTAAGCTGCTGACTCTTTGCATCATTTTAGGCCCTAATCGAAATGACCTCGAGCGCAGTCTCCAGCGAAATGATAGAATATTACTCTCGGCATCCGCTGACCTTGCGTGGATGTGGACCAATCGTCTTTCAGTATTCCAGATATCAGGAACTTGAAATAGTTGGTATCAGCAGACCTGTCTCGGAAGCGGTCAACGTTGGAAACGAACATGTTAGACGATATATTGACGGTGTTGTCACTCGACCCCGCGTTATTCGCGCCTACCTGGAGTCCACCAACTCACAACAACTGACTTATATGGAGTACTTTCAAGTGAGTGAAATTCTAAATTCATACTTTTTATACTTATCTTGTAAATCTATGATAGAAGGAATGGTATGGATTTTAAGATTTAGTTTACGGCAAATCACTTACAAATTCTTAACTCACTAGTTTATTAGGAGACGAAGCTTACTGTTATAGGGTTTGGGGGGCTTTTACATTCATTCTAGAATCAGTGGAGTATTTATGCGGTTCCCAAACCTAGTTTGCACGCATTATATGTGATAAAACTAGTCAGTGTGTTATGATATATGTTTGTAATATGTATAAAGTCAAAATAGTAACTAAAAAATGATGTTCAATCTATGCAACTGTGAAATTCTTGGCGGCTTCGATTGGATTCGAACCCACAAGAGTACGGGAAAGGCTTTAGTACAGCCAATGCTCTAGCCACTTCAGCTAGGAGGCACAGTTAGAGCCGTGAGTTTCATCACGCGTGGATCAACTTACCCGCCCAGTCTACTGTGACACATGAAATCCACCAATTCGGATAAAGTATGCTGGTTGTGCAAGCAGGCTTTTGTGAGTACCCGATCTAGGATCAACCAAATGACTGCCCGTTTTACTTATGTAATTAGGTGTTTTGAGCGACTGAATAATTCACTTGACCGAAATGTGACCAAACACAAGACAACCGGTGGAGCATCCTATTTCTGGCGATTAGAGCGTTGGCTGTACTAATGCCTTCCCTTGTTGTCATGGTTTCGAATCCTACACTGGAACTAATATGCCAGACCAATATTAAAAATGACTTGAGGATATTTCATTCTCTTTCTTACACCGTCACCTATGCGTTATCTAACTAAATAGAAAAATTCTCAAAACCTTCATCTTAAGACGCCAACGTTTGACGGCGAGTAGAATTCATTGATTAAAATCCATCGTTTGGGTAGTATATATACTCGAAGCTTATCGTTGCAATGCGTAGTAGTCTGCTGATTTTCGCTAACTAGTTTTACTGAAGTCAAATTCGAAGTGAATGTGATCATATTAGTAAGTAAATCGTGGCTTGTTTAATTTCTGAGGCAACTGATGCGCAGTCGTAAATAAAATCTTTTCGAGCAATCCTGTTTAGGCTCAGTCCGAGGGTTCTTTTGAGTAAAGAAGAAAGACAGTCAAACATCGAAACGATTAGTTTGTTATTCTGAGCTTTCGGACTCTTGCAGGAGTCCATCGTTAGAGATGGGAAGCAGCAACAAAAGCGTGGCTGGTTATAGCGTGTGAACAAACAGTTAAAATTTGGACGTGTAAAAAACCGGTAACTATTTTGGTGTGAGACGCCGAATGGCCATGTCGGCAACGAAAATGGGGCAATTATGGGGGATGTGGGGCAAATACATTATGACGGTCGTCTGGCTGTGACCGTATGTATGAGCACAAGGCTCTGTACGCCGGCGCCAATTCGACACATCTGTTGACAGAATTCCCG